AACAAAAATAGACATTGATAAAAATTATATTTGTACTGCATGGAAATTAGCAATTAATAATTGTATAACTGGCATTTTTGTTGGGTGTTACTGTTATTTTTTCTTGTTTGGAAGCTCATTGAAAATAATGCATACTGCAAAGGTGACATATAGTATAATCCTATATTAGTTCAGGTGGTACTAACATTAGTATGTTTTTATGCAATTTTACAATTACGTACAACTGAACTAATTAAACTAAATTACAACTAAATCAACTAACTTGCAAGAAAAATAATTATTATATTGTAAAGAGCCTACTCTCCTTTTTCTTTAATGACAAATATACATTTAAACATTTTTTAAATCTTAGTATGAAGTAATTTTTATTGAAAAATTAAACAAACATTTTTTTACGTAAATGTTGCTAGCCAGTTTTTACCCTTGTCTTCATCGCGTGATGGGAACAAATTGATCGACTGGGACAAAAAATGCTTGTCATTCTCCGTCGAAAATACTACCTGTATATCTAACTCAATGACAGTGGATCATTAAGACGGTTATAGAGCAAATAAAAATGGACACGCCATACTAGATAGCGACCATTAGATAACAAACTCGCCTTCACATTACTTTATATTAGTTCATAAGTATTCAATTTCAAAAAAGGATATAGTTCTAAATTCCACTACATTTTCTTAATGTATATTAGTTTTATTTTTTTTTCTACATAAAAGGATTTTCATAATTACTTTTTTTATTTGACGCTGGTCTTGTGGTTCCAATTTGGCTTAAAATTTACCTTTAGTTTTTTAGGACTAGACGCGTTATTATTTCTTAATCCATCCATATTATTTCTAATCAATCAAGTGGGTATTGGTATTAATAGTGCCAGTATACTCAGTTGGTGTATATTGTGTTAAAGTTGGTTACAAACATAAATATGTCTACAGGTCACGATACACGTCTGATCTCCCTGCTATTATCGGTCACTGTCGGTTGCATCTCTATGCCGATGATACTCAACTTTAACACCAGAACATCTCAGGCAAGCAGAAATTGACATAAATGAAGATCTTGATTCTCTCTTTAAATGGTCTAAAAACAACCATCTTGTCCTAAACCCCTTGAAATCGAAATGTTTAATTCTAGGTACTAAAGTACAATGTAAAAAAACTAGACATCAAAATCCACAGATTTTTATCGGTAACCAATCAATAGAAAGAGTAGATACAGCAAAGAATCTCGGCTTGTTAATTGATTCACAATTACGTTTTCATAGATCATATAAACTGTAAAATAAGAACGTCCTTTTACAAACTAAAAACACTTTACAGTATAAGAAAACACTTAAGTATTCCCATACGAGAAACTCTAGTAGATAATATTGTCTCTTTTTAACTATTGCGATACAGTATGTGGTCCAAGATTGTTGGAGGAAACTCGCAAGTCTATCCAAAGAGTTCAAAATGCTTGCCTTCGCTTTTGTTAACATGTTACACCTTAATACCACAAAAATGGAATATTAAATATGACTTCCCGTACAGAGCACTTCTCCTGCTTAATTCAAAAAATTGTCCATCGCGGTCGTCCGCAGTATCTATATGAGAAATTGGAGTGGGCAAAGAGTAGATATAACAGAAGACTTCGTGAATGCAGACGTTATATGTTAAGCATACCTATACACAAATCCGTTAATTATAGAAGAGGTTTCAAATTCACTGCCGCTAAAATCTGGAACGATTTGCCTCCGCCATTACGCCAAATGATAATACCGCTAAAATTTAAAAATTCTTTAAGGAAAATTATATTAGATAGACAGAGACAGCCCTTGGATAGCGGCGACAAATCTCGACATAAAATGTGTTTTTTTTTTGTGTAGATACACATGCATTGCATGCATGTCACGTGTGAATCCGTATGGATATTATTATTATTTATGTATTAATTTGTTAAATTTTTATTTCATTATGTTGTGGTATTATTATTTAGCACGTGTGATTAGGTACGCCTGCGTAGGTACAAACTGAAAACCAGCGCTGGACGCCCATCAGTCCAGCAATGTGTGATATTAATCATATTAAATATGTATAAATGTGTAACTATGTAACTATACTGATATTGGCAATAAATGGTTTTATTATTATTATTATTATAATCCCTGCAAGTACAACTTACAGAAACAACCCCCTCTTCACATAGGTATGTTTATCAATAGTTATAGAAATTGTATAGACAATGGACCTCGTTATATCCACATGTTAGTGGTCCTTCGTAGAAACAATCTAGCTTCATTTCTGCCGAATTCATCGCATTGACCTGATTATATCGTTATTTCGTTTTGTCTATTCAGGCAGGTTCACGATTCCATTATTATCCAAAAAATAAAACAACTGTCCATGTATCGGGCGCTCTATGTAGAGCTAATGATCATGCGTCGTTTGTTTTTTAGACTTGGCACAGGTAGTTAGTAAACAACATCTTTGTTTATTTTCATACTATACTCAATATAAACTAAAGTAAGAAACATAATAGCTATAATAATAGTATTATTTGATTACGTATAATGTTATTAACAATATGACTATGAATCTTATATCTTTGAAAAATTGAGGGCTCACATAATATATTTTCGTGATAAAAAAGCACGTTATACATATATATAATGTATAATAATAATATATAAATGTGTTAACATCCATGCAAAGAGTACAAAACGGTATTTATTAGTAATTGTCTATTTTATTATTAAATGATTAATTTTAACAGAAGATACCTAAATATTCTGAATTTATGTTACTAACTATAAAAATATATTCTAAATATAAAAAACTAATAACAGCTATACATTGCATACTTAATATACTGCCACTCAATGTCAATCAACATGAATGCTGTAATGAATTCAGAATAGAAACCTCTTACCTACCTATACTTGTATGCAACGCACAGCAATATATATATATACATTTATATTTATTTTAAAGTATTATCTATTGCTTTCTTTATGGCGACATCATTTTGGAATATGTCTTATTATGACGACCCTGTATTCCTCCGTCGTTTTATTGTTATAATTATTTTCATAATATTCTATTAGAATTACAATGAATTGAAATAAACTTAATTTAATTTCAAGATGAGGATAGATAAGGTAGGACAATATTAGGATCTTCCGTAGAAATCTAGACATGCGGTAGCGTGTCAAGCCGAGTTTCAAGTACTGGCGAGCAGCACCGTGTGTATATTTACACGAACCATTTGGAGCCACTTTTGACCCCCTCATAACTCAAAAACTCTTTCACATAAACCTGTCAAATTTTGTTCATATATTGAGACTTGCGAGATAAATATGTGTTCCTAATTTCATAAACATATCTCAAACGGTTATTTAGATATTAACGTCCAAATATCGTCATTTTTATCACTGATCAACTATAGATCAAAATTATAACCCACTTCCAGATGACCTAGGAAGTTCAAATTTGGCATGCAGATAGGTAATTAGGTGAATATAAAATTGGTAAATTATTATCATTTTATTATAATTTTTCACTTTAATTGATTCTATTTCAACTTATATTGGACGATTACTAAAATTCTATGAAAACGTCGATAGCCACCAATTAACATTGATCCCTGGCAAAAATAGCTCATCTTGTACTGGACGGAAAGTAATATTGTATGAAAACGTCGATAGCCACCAATTAACTTTGATCCATCACTGGCTACCAGGTAGCTCATCTTGTACTGGACGGAAAGTAATATTGTATGAAAACGTCGATCATTACCAATTTACGTTAACCCCTTCACATCAGTGTCGACAACTAGCAAGCTTCAAATATTGCATTGAGCGGTAAACACTAGTTGCTATAATTCAGATTCTGTCTAAAATATACTCGTACTTATAAATAAGAGTATAGTCGAATTTCGTATTTATTATGTTATTAACTGAGATTTGGTATTAATTATAATATTTAGCGCACATATATCAAACATTTAAAAGTATATAGAAAATAACACAAAAAAAGACAATTATACCCCGTAAACATACAAAAATACAGTAGCTTATCAAAAATAATTTGGTATTAATTTAGTTATAAATAAGGACCTCGTATAATTTATTGACAAAAAGTAATGATATCCCATCAAAAACATAAATGTGAAGTGATAGCCGAGTTTAATATTATGATATATATATGCCTTGATTGTTCACTTCTACGACAAAAGAAGTGAGATCTAATGGGTGCCAAGTTCAATGGTCTGTCCTGAAATGTACTTATAACAATATAAAATATCATTTCTTATAACTTAAGATAATATACTGTAGCCTAAGGTCTAACTTGGCTAGTTTTCATATACGAAATATACTGTAGCCTTCGCAAGTTCTAAACATGTTACTTGTCGGTTCCTATTTTTTTATTAGTAATAACTAGCAATCGAAAGTAATAATTGGTATATGAGAACTGGCCAAGTATGTATTTCTATATATATATATATATATATATATATAGAAATACATAACATTACATACATATCAGTGATATTATCCGTACCTACACATCTGAATATTCACTGTTAACATGTATAATATTTAATTGTATGTGTATATGTAGGTATACGAGTATGTAGTACATATATAAATATTGTGTATATACGTGCTTTAAAGTTTTAATGGATCGATAAATGTTTATAAATATCTATATATAATAATTGTAATCCAAATTCGTTAATTTATTAAGAACTAAGTAATCATTATAACATATAATAAACTATCAATAACCAATACAACATAATAAAAAATAATTTATTATTGTGTTGACAGTGTTAAAATACGACTTATCGTGTGGTTGTTTAGATACGTACCTAACCTATCCTTAACATCAATCACGTCAATCACATGTAAATATTTCCAGTTTAATTCTAATCAAAAAAAAAGTAGGTACTATTAAGTAAATACTTAACATACATGTATATTTTTCTATGAATTATATATAATAATTTAAAGTAACTCAACTTACCTTCCTTTTTTTTCCTTCATGATGGATCAATCAATAATAAATTTTAATTCTAAATATCAAGAGATTTCTAAACAACCTTCACTGAGTTCAAATTACAATTACAGGATAGAGATTTGAAAATAATAAATGTATTATTTTTGTATCAAATTATAATAACCGGCATGATGTACTGATTCGTTGTGAGTCGCCAAAACATTGTGAATGAATCCGATCGATAGATGGGGGTTGTCACCGTACTGTAGTCGCGGTGACTCCAACGGCCGAAGCTGAGCAACTGCGGTTTATGACCGCGAGTTCGCGAGTCGGCCGAAGCCGAACGCTAGGAAACGCTCTACGGGCTCTACCGCTCTACGTATGGAGAGCCTGACGTCACTGACGATCAATGGGCTGCAGACCTTGAACTGCCATGATAGAATTCGCAATGTGCGGATAAGCTTACAATAATGTACATTCCCGTATATAAGAGCGCAGAAGTTTACAACTAACTTTGTAAAGGCGGAGAATATCAAACCGATTGCAATTTTCAATATCTTCAACAAATTTGAACCGATTTTTATATCTAATGCGTTAATTAGTTTGAAATTTAAGTTCGCTTTATTTTGGGGATTTTTCAGCTAAATATCTAAATACCTATATAAATAATAGTAATAAATTTCATTAGATATAGATTTTTTCTACAAGATATAAAACTTTTTATATTCTATCTTAACTTTGAAATACTCCAGCCTTACTTTATTCAACCTAATGATCGGATTGATATATTGACTATAATAAATTATAGTGCCTTACTGAAAAACATTACCATATTTTAGTAAATAATATTCATATTTAATAGCTGTATCTGCCAAAATTTCACTCGAATCCGTGCAGTATATGTTAGTCTTTACATGAAAGTAAAGATAAACATACAAACACAAATATACATCTATCTATTCTCGCAAATATTCGCGTTCATAACACGGGTATTAGCAGGGTCAAGCAGACCATACCTTCTCGTAGTGCCGTCTCAAAGTCACTCTGTATTACGTTATATTAAGATTTTCTATTGTTTGTAGTAAAAGTAATATATAGTGTATATGTAAATATACAATGTAATCTGAAAACTGCCATACAATGAAGTATTTGCTTAGGTGTAGTTAAAGTATCGTGAGAATATTGCGTCATGTCGAATAGATATAAGTAATATCTATAATATTGCGCAAGATTGCGATAGTAGATTCTTAGTTATCCGTGACTTTTAAAACGAGTTCTCTAGTTGACGTTTTTTTATTGTTCTTTAATGAAAGTGTCATGGTCTATTTATTACTACCCAGACGTATACCTTAAAGATTATGGATTAAATTCTAGCAAAAAATTGTGTATCGATTTTTATTTCTGACTGATTATCCGATAGTGTAAACATCGGTAGCAAATCAAATTGATACGAGCGCTAGGATCGGTACCCGGCACTGAATGACATGTCAGGTACCTTTGGTTATTTTGTTGGGATATAGTCATAAGATAACTAAATATATTTTCTTAATGGCACATTCACTTTTCCAATTTGTTTATCTGAATTATATGACTATCACAATACGAATTCTTGTACGATTTTGTCAAAGTGATGTTAGTAAATAATATGGAACTAATATGCAAAACGAGTTGATACGTAGATTTACAAAACTTATCAGCAAAATGTAATTAATAATAATGACCCTGGACAATTCATCTATGTCCATCTAGTTCCAAACGAAGAAGAGTTTGTACTGTGGGAAGATACTAAATAACCATTATTTGGTAATATATCCTATCTATTGGTACATACACAAAATTGCAACCAGATTTATTCTAACAATTATAATCGCGCATAATATAAGTGATTGTGAGAAATCTAATACGCGACTATCGGTAGTAAAGCAGCCTACACAGTTAGATAACCGAAACCGTCAAATTGGCAAAGACATACATAAGTAGTACGGAGAAGATAATGATGAGAGCCATGCGATGTCGTGTGACAGACTGTCAGTAGTAGTAGTAGTAGTAGTATTAGAATTAGCAATATTCTCCCGTCCAAAGTCAGTTAGAATTTCAAGTCAGATTTTCTACCATGTATATAATTTCAATATAGAGGTATCTAATCTTATACATAAAATTCTCTTGTCACAACGTTAGTTACCAAACTTCTCCGAAATTCAATAGCTCTGAGAATCGGCTATCTATTTTTCATGCCCCTAAGTGATAAGGGTTGTCCACATCTAACATATTTTTTATTTTTTGCCATAATTTTTTTTTTATAATGTGGCATTAAAATGCATATAACCCTAAATTTCCACCCTTCTATCACCAACCCCTATTTTTTAACAGCGATATTAATTATACGGCAATACGTTTGCCGGGACGTCTAGTTATCTAAATATAAACGACGTAAAAATATCTACATACGAGGCGTTAAAGAGTGATTTGTCATTTGTTCTAAGTATAAACAGAAATCAGCATATGGGATTTATAGTGATTCGTGGAATTTGACAATTGCTCAGGTAGGTAGGTAGAGTAAAGTTTATTAGCTTCATAATATAGTTGTTGTTACAAATGTGAATCATTTGTAGTTACATTGTGAAGTACGCAAATCTTTGAAGCGCATGTAGTCTTATTCATAGTCAGCACATAGTTGATTTTTAATATTGTTCTGATTTAGGTAATCTAGGAGGAAGAATATATGAAGAGCCAACTATTTTTGATGACATGTGGCTTGCTTCCCTGCAGTTAATGTTAATGGCAATTAAATGGTACATCCAACTGCACTAGCGGTATGCCCTGACGGGCCACGTTGGAGGATGATAGAATGGGCTTCAATTCATGTGAGTTAGCCCATCGGGACATATTCATCAGCGTGTTCATTTCACAGGGACTTCGTGGTGGCAAGATAATTGTAGTATTGCATCATTAGGCCCCCAATGTTGTCCATAGCCCTCAGATTCCAAGCTTATTGGCGAAGATACGTAGATACATAATATTCAATATCTATTGCTAACATACTTCCTGTTTTTTTTAATATTATTTTATTCATAAATTATCTGAACTACTCCACCTTTGTACTGTGTCTTCATAGTTGCTGATAATATTAATTCTCATGTAATATTTATGATACATTAAATTAAACCATAAAAATGTACCTAGTACTTATCTGATTTTCTATATATAATCTAAAGGCAACACTATATGTTGTGTGTATAATGTTGTATTTAGATAAGTTCGAAATTGAACAAAAAATGTGACTTAAATTTTAATTTCTATAATTACATCTCATGAATTCTGGCTATACATTTCATCTGATCAGTAGATTAATTGAATTGGATCTTATTTAATTAGGTACGAGGATATATTTTGTAAATAGCAATAGCACCTACTTACTTTTTAATAACACAGAATACAAGTTAATACTACAGTAGGTATTTCTTATTCGTTAAATGAATAGATAATATTATTAATTGTTATGATCTGACAAACTGATCTTTCTTCTTTTTTACGAGGCGATTTTACAGGCATCACAAGTGCAGGACCGATTCAGAATGAAAAACCAAATATATAAAGAAGACTACCATGAATTTGAGTTTTACTTAAACTTTAGTTAAAGTTAAAATAATAACCAAACTAAAATTGAGGTAGTAATGTTTAGGGCTGTTAACTCGGACTATGAATATGGATGGAGGTGTTAATTGGAGGCGACCGTATGAGTTATGACCCGTTACACTTCCGAAAACACCACCGTTCTGCAAACAGATGCACCCAATGTGTGTCACTCGGACCATTCAAGTTCTATAAATATGAATGAAGCCTATGCTGATTAAACACAACAGATTAGCCATCGTCGGTATCATAACCAACGGGAATTAGTTTAATAATGGATCAAATGTATAAATTGTTCGGAATTGTTTTACTACTCTTCTATTTTGTACTTCAAAGTGAAACAAAGCCAATGGAAACAGGTGCATTATTAGATCAAGATGAAATGATGGAGACTGCAGAGGGGCAACATCCTTTCTTACCCCGATTTACTATGAGGATACTGAAGGAGAGACGTCGGCTAGCTCAAGCGCAAAGGAAAGCCTATTTGGCTCAAAGGAGAACGAACCCACCCTGCATGAGACGACAAAAGATAAAAATTGCATATGCGGTTAGTATACATTCGGTATCTGTAGTTGCTTATATATTTTATGCCACCATACAGCTATTTGTCAACCTGTATGTTTGAATGCTAAAATTTCACTGAAACATGAGTTGTAGTAAAATTACTGGGGTAACATATCAGTTCTTAGAATACGATTATCTATGTGTGTTTGTCTCATGTCCATTTGCGATCATAGGACTCCTTTTTCATCCGTGGGACCGTTCGCGTAATTATTTCGTTTTCGGTATACAGGATACGGACGGGAGCTTGATTATTTCGGTCGTATATACGTTCAGTAAATTGTCCGTCTAATAAGGATAGTAATATGCACAATAAAGTACCAGTAACAGTACGTATTTCACACATTCTTTCAAACCAATTGTAAATATTTACTCAAATTATTCATTTTATTGAGGACACCTTTCTTTGACCTATATTTTGAGCATTATAAACCTACGTAGGCCATTACATTCTATAATACTCTGTTGGTAGTAAGATAGTCATATTGTCATTACAGTGAAAATGAAGATGCGAGCGATTATGCTGTTGGCGGTGTGTTTAACCAGTGGCATTGCAGATTCTATTTCAAAACAAAAACTTTCGGCCGATAACAAGCAGCCTTTGTCAGAAACTAAACCAAGAGAAACAAAACACAGCAATGAAGCATTGTTAAACAATGTTGAACCAGAACAAAAGAAAGACGTAATAACCATAAATTCTGCGGCAAATATGAATGACGACAACGGTGAATACAGTGATTCCAATGTGCAGATTATAATAGAGAGTATTGACAGCCCAGCGGAGGAGATGCCGTCAAAATCTGAATCCGTGTTTATCAATAATGAGATTGCATTAAACAGTGATAATTATCGTGATACATATATTGATAGTGATCCGAATGAAATAATGGAAACAGCTGCTGGTTTTGTGCCGATCCCAATATTTAGAAAGAGACAAAATGCACGCAGAAGATTTGCAACGCGACGTCACTTTAAAAGAAACCCATACCCATATACATACAAGAGACTGTATTATTATTATCCATATTATGGATTTTATTATCCTAGCTCTCTAAAATATTACTAAACTTTTAGAAAATATTTTTAAGTACACTTATTATTTATGTATCATATATCAATATCATATAAAAGGAATAAAATAGTATAATGATCAACTTTGTTTTAAAACATTTATTTAAAAAAAATTAAAACTATGAGCAAATCCCTTACCAATTACAATAATTTTTAAATTATATATTACTAAATCTTAATTATATTTACAGTGATTGAAATATCATTTTGTTCGCTATAGCTAAATTATTATTATTATATTATTACAGGGAAAACATGATACAGTAAGTTGTATTACATTCATGGCAGTTGTTATTGTGATACAATACAATTTTTATTTTTATCTTTTTCTGTGTAGACATATGACACAATAATATAATTAGTATACAGTTATAGTGATATACGTACGTACGTAAATCACAAATAGCTTATATTCATTTCTGATCTTAAAATAATGTATTTACGTAATATCTATTAAGAAAACATAAACATTACACGCAGTTAAATGTACTTATATTATTAAATTATGGTTTGTAAAATTTTCCAAATTTTTATATAAAGCCCGCGCGCTGGTACTTGTAATACAGAGTGACTGATGGCATTGAAATTTTCATCTTTTACATATGCACTTTACGGGAATTTAGTTGCTATGTATCAAATTGTTAAGTTTAACTACTTGACGCTTGATCAATACTTATTCACGAAAATAGAAACCATTCAAGGTCAGCGTAAAATACTAAGTATAAAAGTACAACTAGTTATTTATTTAGTTGAATCGATACAATGGATTTTTCAACAGTATACTCTGTATAGTAGATTTGCGTGTGCGGCTATTGTCACTCATTTGCCGGGACCGACAAGTGCTTCGTCCATGAGTTCATCATCGGTAATACATGGTGAATTAGAGTGTGGTGACGGAGCAACTAAAGGAGAAGCTGCGGGACTCTTCGCTAATTGCAAAGCAAGCGCCGGCGAAGCGGGGTACACTGACCGTACGGCAACCATTCCTGATACTTTACTTCCTGACGAAGACGAAAAGTCAAGAAGCATTTCTGCCGCTTCCTGCGGTGTGGTCGCTCCGCTTCGCGCTACAGCTCCACTAGCAGGCGGCTTCATGCAAGAATCGGCTCCCTTTCTATCCTCCGAACTTCCTTTAGGGGCAGGAAACCCCTTTACCATATCCGTCTTAAAGTCTAAAGGCAACAATGGGTAAGATCCAGAGAAATCTTTCGGATCCTCTTTGCTACGCTGCGGACTTTCTCCTTTAGACAGAGTTTCTGACATTGCTTTTGAAAATTCTATTGGCCTATCAGATTGGTCCCCTTTGTTTGGTGTATTAGTTTTAGGGCTTATACCACCCATATTCAGTAAAGGTTTGGGAACGTTTAAAGTAAATGTGGACTTTTGCAAGTCTGCGTTTCTAGTGTTTGCACTCTCAAAATGAGGGAACGGATATTTATTTTGATCCAAAGACCTAGAAAAATCATTTACCATAGAACGACTGTCATATTGTGATACTGGACTATTTTTATCAGGAGTGCTTTGGTTTTTTAATTTTGGAATTTGAAATTTGCTAGTATCTAGAGGCTTCATTAGGCCTTCTACCAGGAAATTTGCATCTTTAGAGGACTTATATCTATCTGAGTCCACTTCATCTCTTGAGCTACTGGGACTAGAGTGACGTTCTGATTTAGAGGAAAATATAGATTTTTCTGAATTACTCATGAGTTTAGTTCTAGCTTTTTCACGTTCTCTATCTCTGACAATTTTTGATATTTGATCCGTATTACTACTCTTAGGTGAACCAGAACTGGATTTGGATGCAGATTTTGATAGATTAATGCCAGTACTACTAGATGTTTTAGAATAAGGCACTTTAGATACGTTACTGCTGTTGCCTGATTCTGAAGGGCTCAAATTCGCTTTAGGTGGTGTTGAGGAACTTGTTGTTGCACTGCTAGATTTCGAAGACTGTAATGCTTGGGTTTTTTTAGATGCCGGCCCGCTTATGACGCCTGGTTTGAGGCCCGTGTGCGTTTTAGGCGAACCTTGGCTCGGTGGGGTTAGTTGAGGGGATGATTTATTAGAATTCGAACTACTGTAGTTCAATTTTGAGCTACCACTTGAGGACTCTTTTGTTCTAGTTTTGTTTATAGTAATTTTCATACCGTCTAGACTAGGCTTAACCATATATTCTTGGTTTTTACTTTCACTTACTTTAGTACTACCAGGTGAACTGTTTTTTGGATCAGAGAATTTATTAGCATTATTTGTAGAGCTAGACTTAGCAGCTGCCAATTCTGCGGTATCGGTGCCGCAATGTTGTGCGGATTTTAATTTGTCTATCACAGCACTGAGGGACCCTTTACGATTACGAGCCTGACTGGGAGCATTTGACTTATTTATTTCAACATTAGGCGGGGATATTAACGGTTCCGTGACCGGGCTATCACAGGATATAGGAGTTATTTCTAATTGTTTTAATTTAATGGGGTTTTTTAATTTAGGACTACTTCTACCTGAACTGGAAAAAGATAAACTGGAATGTTTCTTTTCTTTATCCCTAGAGGTTATTGAACTACTTCCATAAGAGTCTTTCGATATTTTTTTTGTTAAATCATATCCAGTAGTTCCAGATTTACTAGAAGGAGAACCGCTTGTAGCAGATTTTAACGTGGACATACTAGGTTTTCCGGAACCCGAAGAACTGTGTTTTGGTGAGGATACACTATGGTTTTTTGGGCTAGAATACCCTGGCAAGTGTTTAGGACTGTTTTGTACCGGTGAATGTCTCGGACTACTGTGGTGAGATGTCCCTGATGATTTACTCATGCCCTTAACTGTGTTGGGGCTAGGTGATTTAGTGATAGAAACAGACCTACCGTGAGTTGGACTTGGACTAAATTTTCTTAAAAGGGAGTTTGGCGACGTGGATCTCATGGGAGAGCCATCAGTGGGTTTAATGCTGACCGACACGGGTTTAGTTAAAGGATCTTGTTTGGGTGGCACCTTTTCCGGTGGTCCCATGGAATCATCACGGCGTCTTTTCTTTTTCTTTTCTTTGCTCCGCTCTTCTCCAGATCTGCTTGATTTCTTTTCAGATCTGTTGCGGTCGTCGATTGATTTAAGTTGTGAAGAAGTAATAGGTGTAATAGTTATCGAGCTGGGTAAGGTGGCAGGTGCTGCAGATGTGATTGGTATTATCTCTATGCCAGGACGTCGGTCCAAGCAAAGCATAGACGATATATTAGATCCTGAACTACTGCTATTTGAAGAGTTGGATCCTATTGGAGTTATGCTAACAGAGGACGGCATGTAGGATTTACCTTCAGTAAGATCTAAAAGCAGTGATGATGTACTTCTACTTCGGTTTTCTGAATCTTTACTTTTGAGTTTTTGCCGTTTGTGATCAGACTTCTGAAAAGAATTCCTGTAACAAATTAGTTTTAATTACCAATTATATTCAATGATATAAAATATTATACAGACAGGAGAGTAAAATATATTTTAATGCGGCCGGACGGACAAAGACTATCTATCTAAATATACATGCAATGAAGCCGTAACAGGGCTCAATAAAATAGGAACAAATCGTGCCACAGAAATAATTAGGCCAAAATTCAAGTAAAAATATTTTTTCATTAGTGTTTGTTTAACATATTTATGAAATACTAGCTGTGACCAAGGTTAATGTATAAGCTATATTACTGTAAAGTTTAATCATAATCAGTTCAGTAGTTTCTGCGTGAAACTATAACAGACATCAATCTATCCATCCATACTCACAAACTTTCTCATTTATAATATTCATAAGACGAAAATATGAAATTCTTGCAAATTTTTCGGACAACACATGAAATACAATTCGTGTGTTATCAGGAACATATGTAATTTTGGATCCCTACCATTTTACTATATTTTTTATAGATATTATTGATTTGATACATACCTGATTAAATCCTCTACGTCTCCATCATTCGAATTGTCTACATCAGACGAAGTTCTATTATCTTGGCTGCCGAGTGCGTCCGTTGTATCCATTGCAGATAATTCCAGATCGGACGTGAATTCGTTTTGAGATACGGAAGATTCTTGGCCTTCTATGTCGTCATTCGTCGAGTTACTATTCATAGTGTTTTCATCTTCATTGACATATGTTTCTGAATTATCGCTTTCACTTTCCGAATCAACCATTTCACTGAGGCCCGGCTTACCTTTCTTTTGAGTTGACCAGATATCAGTATCAGACTTTCGTTTCTTCGGTTTACGATCTTCTAAAAGTTGGGGCTTAGTTTCATTCACCGCAGAGTCTTGACACATCATAGATAGGTGGTGTTGCTGATCCGACATATAGGGACCTGTTAATATAAAGGTTTTATTGAAGTATTCGTTTCTATATTTCGTAATAGGTAGAACATAGCTACTCATTCCTATGAAATATATGATTTAATACTTGCTGAACATTTTTTCTTCAAAACTGGTAGAAACCAGTTCCTCTTTAATTGATCAATATATACAATGCGTGTACAAGGCAGGTTTACATAGAATATCGCTACAGACAAGAGATATTAGTGGGCAGAGAGAAATACTAGGTATAGATAGTGGCCAGTAATTGAAACATGATTTTGATCACATTTTTTATATAAATTAACATGCATTGCATACCCATATACACGTAAAGGCAATCTATTTTAATATTCTCTAGCACCTCAAATATTTTTTATTATTTACGTTAACGGAACGGGAAACAAGGTGACCGTTCAGCTGATTAAAAGAGGCAATCATTGCAGACAGACACAAATAGCATTATGAGCACTGCTTCAAATGATGATGATGCTGAGTGTATCAACTGCACATATGTATTCATAGTGTGAGAGGTACAGACCAGGCTGATGCTGCTGGTGGTTCTGGTGGTGCTGGTGATGCTGGTGTGGCTGGTGCGCGTGGGAGGAAGGGTAGTGCGCGCGGCCGTGCATGTTGGCGGGAGGCTTTACGTCTCCCCCGTCCATGCCTCCCAGGCCGCAGCTAAAATTCGACTCCAGCGCGGAGTAGTTGCCATTCATTTGTTTCGTCGCAGCCTCCCGCTCCCATATCTTTACCAACGATCTGGAGGAGAACACGTATTTGTATTTGCATTTTATTTATTAGTTAATATGAATAATATGCTTATATCCCATGTAGTCGTTACGGGCAACTTCTAACCTTGTGTTTACGTAAACCACGAGGTTGCTTCCATTCTAATACATTTTAACTAGATTTTTTCTTGGAAGCGATTTTGATTATATAAAACAGTTGGTAAGTATTAATGTCACTTTATATTTTTTTCTATTCTGAAAGAAAACTGTATTTACAATACGAATATATATATAATTGAATACTATTCATACAGCAAAATGAACATGAACTAGGCTACAGTGTACGTAATGGAGGTTGTAAAATTATACATGTACATTATAATTACATTACTGAAGGAATTCTGTAAATTATAATTTACAGAATTTCTCTACAGAATTACAATATTAAGGTACTATTTATATACTATACTAGTTGTAATAATATAGTTATTTATATATTACTATAGTAAATTATAATTTTCAGAATTTCATTATAGTGAAAACCGTAACAAAATCCGTTGAGTGACTTAGACGTAACTGTGATTATTAGAGTAGTAGCATGGTAGCGAGTACATAGAGGTGAAGAGTGACCTGAGCGTGACGGGTATGGAGTGGCTCCTGTGCAGCACCCTGGTGACGTAGTCGTCGAGCTGGTCGCGCTGCGCGTGCAGAGCGTGGAGCCTGGCGCGCGGCGCCGCGGGCTCGGACAGGTCCAGCTCGAGCGTGGCCAGGCTCTCGTCGGCCGGGTGCTCCAGCGCCACAGAGATGTGCTGCCACGACAGCGCGCTCACCTCGAACGTCACCGCGCCCTCCGCCTCCGCCGCTGCACGCGACACAGTGTTAGTGATGCGGACACGCCTCAATATGGTAGCCATTATCACAGAAACAAAAACGAATCGACCACCCCAAACAGAACACACCATAAACTAATCCTAAAGTAATGTAGAGTTTAATTTAGTTCTACTATATGGCTTTTCTGATTAAGTTCAATTTGACATAACTTACATACAGTAGATACATTAAGTGTATGTAAGCTGATTATGTCCAAATTTTTATAACCCAAGTACATATAGGATAATTTAACCTACCTAATTATAAATATTCATATAGACTTTCGTTTTCGTAAAGTTTGTATTAAACACGCCATCTTTCTACTGTTATCTATAAAAAAAATATGAGTGTAAACATCACCACAACCACCTTGCATCCGAAAATAAAGGTGAGCTTTAGTTGTTTGAACAGATTTTTCAGGCGTTGATTACAATAAGGTAAAGGGCCATATTATGGAACATTGTACTAGTTTATGAAACAAGTGATAAAAATCTGAATTACAAATAATTTCTAACGTATTCAGTATTTATAATATTATCTTTATGATCTTTAATAACCTATTTATTGATTAAATTAATTTATTTTGGTAAACACCTTAAAATGTATAGAAAAAAAAAATAGTGAAATGCACGTGTCAGGTTGCATGAAAAAAGACTGTCTTTTAGAGTTAGAGAATGACAGGTGTCATCACAATTGTTTTAACAATTCGAAATATTTGTCAATGATTCAAAAATACTTGAAACATGTTAATCAAAAGTTTGACTTATAATCTATTGATTGATAATGAATTTAAAGTACTTTAATAAGGTATTTATTTTTTATTTAGGTGTTTCATAATTGCCGCAAAAATTTCTAAACAGACCGTATTTATGGAACAGTATATTCAGTGTTCCACATCCCCCTCACATTCGATTTTCTAAGTTGTCCGTAATTATGAAACAGCAATAAGTGGACAATATTTAGTTAATTTCGTGTTAATCATTGTTAATTAATTATAACAAAGCAATTTACGTTAGAACAGTTTATATTTATAAAAATTTGCATTTAGATAAGTACATAGATTGTAAATTTCCATGAAAATAAAAAACTAACCTCAAAAATGAATAAGCTGGATGATAAATATTGTTTTATGTTAATTAAAACATATGCTTAAGTGGAAAACCTGCCTGAAAAAATTAATAACACTTTATTTTATTCAAAATTTTTACGAAGCACCTACATATCACATTTTTATAGATGTTTTTAAATTAATAATTTTTGTAGGTACATTTTTTTTATTGAATTTGATATCTTTATTCTATAGACTTGTTTTATATTGTTATTATTAATTTTGATTGTTTGGTATAATTTTTATAATTTGATATTGGTTGGTTTTCATGAAATAAATAAACTAACTGTCAAAGAAGTGACGTTGGTAAATTTTAATTTTTAGAGAAAGAACAGAACAGTAAGAAAATAATTTGATTAATAATCAAGTCGAATGATAAAACTAATGATTACATGACACTTAACAATGATTGTCATTCTTCTAATAAATATTCTCCTCTGATAAATACCAGTACCCAGTCTCAACAAAGCAGCCATTCCTGAGGTAATTACTGTATGAAATTATAGTAGAAAATGAACCTTTAGATATGGTTACTGAAGCTCATTCTGGTATTAATGAAAGTAGTAATTTAAATTGACTAAATTTAACTAATATTTTGTTAATATAAATTTAATATTGTGCGTAATGTTGGTGATGAATTAATATTTGAGTTGAATTTGAAGTCAAGAAAAATGGATTAAAGTTGAGTCATCAGGTAAACTCAAACTACCTTCTGCTGGCATATCTGATCAATGGATGCAATATGACTCAAAAAAAGAAACTGAAGAAAAAAAAGTAAAACTAAAGAAGAAAAGCTACATAAAAGAAAACAATTACTAAAGGAGAAAAAAGTGATAGCTGATGAACGGAAAAAGCTACTAGAGAACGCATTACTACAAAGGATCAAAGAAGAAATGAAATAGTTGAATTTTTGGTTTAATTTAATGTATATTTGGTTTTTATATCTTGTTTATTAATCCTAAGATTTGAAACTGTTCTTGTCATATTTACTTTGTAAGTGAATATTTATTTATTGCTTGTTTATTCGTATAATTTTTAAATCTAACTGTATTAATAATTAATAATAAAACTTTTGATACTATGAATAAATAAATTAGTAACTGAAAAATGTTTTTAATGCGAGTACTTCAGTTCATTTTGAGTTCCATAATTTGGGACATTCCCGATGGAACACCCGTACGTGTTGCTTTAGACTGTTTCATAAATACGGCCGTATGTACTTGTCTGTTATTTTATTCAATTTATTAGCATTTTCAACTAAAACTCACTTGATAATAATTATTATCACTTCAGTAGATATCAGGCAAACTATTAACTTAGAAAAATTCAATGTTTCAACTCTATTTTTTTTTAAACAATGTAAAATATTCAACTCCTACTCAAAAGGTGTTTCATAATATGGCCCTTTACCTTACTATACTTGTTGCAAATTACGTTGCATGCCATATGTAACCTATAGTTAATTCTCACCGTGTTTGGTCTGCGTGCGGACGCAGCTGGCGATGAGTGCATTGAATAATGCCTGCTGTCGGAGGCAGGCGAGCAGCGGCGCCACGTGTGATGGGTGGGTGAATGGTATGCTGTTCACCACGCAGCCTTCCAGTCCGCGCCGCTCCATCACGAAGTAACATTGCGTCTGCTCCGGTAGATTCTGACAAGTTGTAATGTATTACATCTCTGCCAAATATATATACAATATTCATGTCATTGCATTATTAGCTGCTGTAATGGCCGCCGTACTGACGGAAATAGAAATAATTTTTATTCAAATAAACTCATTACAAGCACTTTTGAATAGTCATATTTTGATTCTACCACTCATTCGGAATGCAGATTCATCACAAGAAGAATGAGCAAGAAACTTGTGTGTTGCTCTTTTTAATAGATGTTTTTTTTATATAAATAATTACAGTATAAGTAAGAGGCATGCGATAATCAACATAGAAGTCGCTACGCACTCATTATTAATGTAATCAGTTAATATTGTCAGTGCTATAGATTTAAAGTTTTTCTATAAAAACATTATTATCGTTAACGAATTCTTCAATTTTATAGTAAGCTTTTTTGCAAAGGAACTGTTTTATTTGACATTTAAATCTTTTTTCTGGCAGATTTATAACAGACTGGTATTTTATTGTAAAACCTTACGCAATTGCCATAAAACGAATTACTAACTTTAGCCAAACGACATTTAGGTAAAATCAGTTTGTTATTGTTACGTAAGCTTTTATTAGTGCAATCACTAACTCTTTTGAAACTGTCTATATTCCTTCTGGCATAGATGATATTTTCATAAATGTATTGAGAATCAACGGTGAGGATATTTGATTCCTTAAAACACTCTCGCATTGACTCCCTGGAACCCATACCATAAATGGAGCGAATGGACCTCTTTTGTAAAGTAAATATTGTATTTATATCAGCTGCTTTGCCCCATAACAAAATACCATACGACATAATGCTATGGAAATAGCTAAAATAGACAAGTTTAGCCGTTGCCACGACGGTTTCGGGGACTAGTGGTTTAGTTCACTGCTTTATTTCCGACTAGCTACGTGCTTCGACTTCGCACGGGTGTACATGTAAACCTTCCTCTTGAATCACTCTATCTATTTAAAAAAAACTTCTTCAAAATCCGTTGCGTACAGCGACTTTGTTTTATATATAATATGTAATAATAATGATGGACGCATGTTTGATTCCTCGAACGGTACGAACAATTGTATTCATGAGTATAGTTGTTTGTATCGGTCTGCGTGTTTTCTATGTATTAACAAAAAAAAGTATCTATGTATTTATATCAGTCGTCTAGCACCCATCACAAGATCTGTTTAACTTGGGACTAGATGACACTGTGACTAGATGATCTCTTAAGGATATTATTATGTTACTAGTATGTTGTGATCGCATGACCACCGTCAATAACAATAGCTTTCAGTTTAAATATTATGCGAAATAAGATGAACATTTAATTTCATATTATTCAAAATCATAACCCTCTTTTTTTATTCGTCGTATTTGTGTAGGAATTTATACAATGCACATAAAACGGTAGTTGTCATACTTACAACATAGAGCCCCTTGCTAAGATTCAACTCGATATTTTTTCCTGGGTTCAGTTTGTTGTATGCTTGCTGGGCTACAAGTCCAAGCATTGGTTTTGCGTTAGTCCAATCACCAGCTACTTCCACCTATAAATATAAATGTACTGTAATGAAGTGTACCATTACACAAGTGTACCATTAACCTGAATAATTGGAATGCCCCCCCTTTGGAAATATTAATATCTATTAAAGGAGAGTTGTTGGTAATGCGGATTAATGATCTTATGCTAGCACCATATCAGGTTGACCTCCACGCGGTTCTCCCTGGAAAACATCGTGATTAATTCTTGGTGATTTTGGCACGATGGGCTAACTGACCGGACCTCATGCTCATCTTATCATTCTCCACTGGTGCCCCGCTAGCGTAAACAGTTAACGCAGGCGAGAACACCATTCCATTATCATCCATAAAAATAAAATTCAATGTGACAACATTGAATTTTATTTTTATTATATTCACTAACTTATTGAATTTTACCATTTTTCACTTATGACCATTATCATCCATAGAAAAAAAGTATTATGACAGCAATACTTAACTTACATTTAAATAGAAGATAAAGTTCTTTTGCGAGTTTCTTGTCACATTAATTTGAAATATACTCAGACATGTGGACATGACAAGAATTGTATCCATCATGACGTTAAGAATAGATAATTATCAGGCATAACAGTTACATAGGTATATATTATTTATTATTACAAAATAATGTAAAAAATGCGACCAGCTGGTCATAATATCATTGACTCTATAACCTCTAATCTACTAAAAATAATTTAAATATGTGAAACAGGAACCTATTTATTAAATTGACACAATTTTATAAATGATTATCCTTTTCAGTATCTGAATAATGTCTTTTTAATAATACATGTTGAAAAATAAAAGTATAATACTTCTGTTGTTGCGTGTATAAGCTTGGCGAGTCCGGAGCACAGGGGCATAGGCTGCGATAGTTTAAGTGTAAAGCACGCCGGCAGCATGGCACTGTTCTGTGGCACCAATTGTGCATAAACTGGACCATTACTGTGTAATTGTACAAATTCAATTAATATATGCTAAATGGTACTATATTTATACATACACTTCTTTAATAAATAGTATATTGGGGGACACAAACAAGACGGTTTAGGAACACTACACTTATTTTTATAATCTCTGTAAAGGTATATTGTGAGACCCCAAAATATTGTTTATCCTGCTTTGTTGTATGTGCCCCATTTTCTTTCATGATTGTCAAGAGTAGTTGTAGTTTGATTACATGTTTCAACTCGATGAATACCTATTTGATACTTTACAATTACGCAAATTTTAATTCAGTAAAGTATAATTAGCTCTTTTAGAGCAAGGTCTTTGGAAAAAGCTAAATTCTTGCTCATTTTTCTTGACTCCATTCTAAATGAGAAGTAGAATAACAAATGTGATTTTTGAGAAGTTTCAATATTACATACTTTATTTGAATAAAGATTAAATTATAATATGTTAATTAATTAAGTGTTTATTTTGTGCGTACCCTTTCCCTGATCGTTGTCCTCCTGATATGATAGGTGATAGCTGTAATTTATTAGCTGTGGATCCTTCTAAAAGAACAGTTGCGGAGTGGCCTATTGGTGTATATGATGGTGCGGCCAATGCCGAGTGACCAGTCGCCAATAAGGGCTTGCCTAGTGTCAGCAGTTCTGTTGACAGAGGTTGCAGACCTTTGTCTCGATCTAGTAGTTCATATGGCGAGACAAAGTACGTGAGCCGCATTGCGTGACCTTTAATAAATCATTAAAATTAATTCAGTAGTGGTTTTGTATATGTCAAGAGATGTGTTTCTTCTTTATTCAAACATGACTTTTAAATCAATTGAGAAATCAGGATATAAACATGAAAAAAGGTTAATTAGTTTAATTAAAACTTTTAAAATTAATATGCAATTGACCACAATTGACTCGTGGTTTATGTACTAAATAATATGAATTCATACAATTATTTAAAAATACCATAAATCTATTATTAATTTGTAAGAAAATATTTATCATTAAATGCTTCTAGATTATTTTGACATGATGTATGCTTTAACATTTTTATAGGAGGTACAGTACTGATTAATTGGTTACAGTAGTAACAATATTTCACCCTTTGCTGGGGGACTAAAGGGGAAGGTCAGATGAGACACATTACCTTATAGGTTTTAAAGTTATAATTGTTTCATACCTCCTCTTCGTTTCTGTAAAAAACCGATAGGGCTTTGGTGAACTTGTGCCCAAGGGTCCTTAATGAAGCTTTGTAGTTGACGTAGTGTACAAAGATCTTCTTCTAAACTTTGTAAGGCACTGAAAGCTTTACATTTCACCTGGAATTATTCAATAGAACTTAACTAGAAAATAAAAATGGAGATTAGTCATTATATCTGGTTTAAAATTGGAATAACAAACGCGCAATTACAGTACCTATGTTATCATCGTCATCATGGTAATAGGAGGGAAACATTGAGGACATTAGTCTTCTTTGTATTAACAAAAAAGATTTAGTTAGTTAAATTAATTTATTATTTAATACTATAATCTTAACTCAATGTACAATCATATAAATTTCATTCTATTGATATGGAGTATCAATTATTACCAAAACAATTCAGCAAATTAAACAGCTATTTGGAAGGTTACAATTTGTGTATATGATTTTACAGAACATAATTACGATTATGGCTCTAAGATGAACATATCTTTGACTTACTTTTTTTTCAGCATTTAACTGATAAACTGCAGTCAGTCCTTCTAATTGTGCTGTGAAATCAGCAAAGTCACCTCTAGTTATACATGAAACTAGTTCTTCGCAACTTTGCTGTTCAATCTAAAAGAATGATTACTTAATTAATAATAATAATAATAATAATAATAATCATTTATTCAGCATACAAAAGAGTACAGAGTAAAAAAGAAAACTTAAATACTAATAATTGTCTATGCTGAAAAGGCTTCCACTCAGCTGGTGCCGCAGCGTGTCACTACAGCGCTGATTTTCAGTGGAGCCACTTGAAAAAAAGAAATAGCATTGGTGATGAATTTAAATATCTAAAATGAAGAATCAGTTAAATGGATGAATTATAAGTATGTGTGATAAATAGAATAAAAATATATAAGGATAAAAAAGTATTGATAGAAAGACTTTTGTGTAATATAATATAGCTTGAATATATTTATTTATTTAATCAATATATATGTATATATGACTACTGTATTTATCTGCCACGTTTAAGATTTTTGTACTTTAAGTAAATATTTTTTAAAATTATGTTTATAAGACGAAACTGACTGAATAGTATTTTGAATCGGGGGTGGTAAATTGTTCCAGCATTTCGTGGCAGTATATTTAAAACTTCCACGAAATGCTGCAGTTTCATATTGAGGACAGATCATGTACGGATGTGACAATCGATGATTTCGCATAGAAAATGAAAGTGTTTCAAATAAATACATTGGTTTCTTATACTTCACTACTCCAAAAAGCAATACTGCAAAATGTAGAGATCGCCAGTGTTCCATTTTTAGCCAGTTGCATTGATTTATATAGGGAGTAACATTACCTTATCATATATATTATATACTATACTATATAATAGTGAGTACTGTACTATTTGCATATACATATTCTACAATGTTTAAGTATGTATATCAGATTTAGAAATGAAAATGAATGGCTTGGTTTTCAAAAGAGACTTAGGGAAGTCAAGGGTTTATAATGGTATATTTTTAATAGAAATCAATATTTTCTAACATACACTTTTTTATTTACAGTGAAATAATATTTTTTATAGAATTTATAGATTACTAAAGTAAATAATAGTAAAGGAAATCCGCAGCCTATAAACACAAATGATATCTTCAGGATACCTTTTGAACTAAGTACAAAGTCTACTTAAATTTCAATGCAATTATAGCTTCCTTAACAGGATCTTATAGAACATCTTATAGAATCAATTGGATTTAGGAAACCTTTGAGTTGTTTAAAAAAAAATAAAAACAAGTTCTTGTATAAATAAACTATATTACCCTTCCTTCATGATGAATTTTAACATCCTTCACTGAACCACTAAATTCCACTAGAATCTCTAGATAGAACATGTCTGATGATATGAAGATGTTTGCCCCTGATGTGCCCACTACAAATTTCAATCTGTAATAAAATATTATTTTAATTTTAGACAATATAGACATATAGATTTAAGAATTTACCAATTAATTGTAATAATACCAGAGGAACAAATAATTAATCTAGATGCTTTAACTTCAAGAAAAAAAGTTAATATCAATTTGATTATAACATTATTTAAATAACCTTTTATGTATATTTTAATGTGCATACTAAAATTTAATGATTGTCTTATTGAAAAGAAAAATAATTCAGTAATGTCAGTGTTAAAATAAAAGTTTGTTTCTGATAGTAATAATAAGTAATTCATATTATTTTAATAGGGGATTGTAAACAATTATAGTTGTAGGGAACTGTTGTTATGTTTTAGTAAAATGATTTTATATTTTTAGCATAGGAAATTAAAGATACTAACCCAAGCTGTCTTGATAAGCACTCAAGCCTTTCTATTAAGCTTTGAAGAGAACTGATTTTAATGCAGTGTTGTAAACTGTCCAGGCATTTTTGAAGAGTCATGCGGTCTGCGTTATCAAGAGCCCATCTTTTGTCCTATAAAATAATATAGATATTTGTAGGTGATGTTGACAAAAATCGATACCTAATAAAAATATAAAAATTCGTACCAATAAAGCCATTCGTACTGCTTTAGAAGTTTCTGACAAATTTTTAAACTGTGATGTCTTTGATCTCAGTTTCTCCATGAGAATTTCCTTTTGGAGCTCCTTGGATTTATTTACCAACCCATTAGCAGACGCCATGGCTAATGGTTTATTGTCCGTCATTTTGCAGAATTTTTTATTTCACCACAAAATCCATAAATAATGTTATCACACTGTACCACGGAACATCTGATACGTTTTGTTTTGATATTTGTTATCAGTCATATTATATAATTAAATATTTATATATATGCACTTGAGTAATTTTCACACTTATAAAATACAATGATATCAAAATTACTTATATTATTCGATAAAAACTACTTTTCTTTCTTAGTTCACATATCAGCAAAATCTGTCATTTTCACGCGATGCCATTTGCTATAACGCACACTGTTTAAAAAGTATTTGTCAATGTAAACTGAATCCATTGTAGCGTTAGATCGCCATATTAAAAACGTGCCCGACTTCAGAGTACAGTAAAACAGCAAAGTCTTTTTATTATAGCTGTATAATACTAATGCCAAATAGCCAACAGCTCTGTTGCGTTCAGAAACCAAAAGGATTCATGTTTCAATTTGTAAGTTCATTGTTTTTTATTAATAGTAATTGATGTTATATTTTTTATTTGTTATATTATTTTGTTGATATCCTTGAATTATTCATAATACAGCGGTTTTTGTGTGTGCCATATTTCGTAATTTGTTTCTTGAGATAGCCCACCCTTGTTCCAAGCATGCTCTTATTACTAACAATCCTGTCGTTCATAGTGATGATTACAAAACGAAAAAAATAATTGGAAGAATTCATGATGAACTGGAAAAAAGCGCGGGAAACGTTCGAAACGCCGGGAGTGTTTTTTGGATTTATTTTTGTTTAATTTAATTTTACTATATATAAGGATTAGTTTTATTTATATATTGTAGACTAGATTAATTGTTTAATTATATATTTATTAATAGTAGTAGCAGTTGCTGCAAATATTGGTAAGTAACTTTAATATATAATATCTATTGAGAATGGACCCGCCTATAGACCCTGGGGGAACAGTCCCCCAGGTGTCTGCAAATATAAGTATTCCATTTAACAATTCTTTTGATATTTTATGTGAATCTAGTATGGATACTGATGGGTCTAATATTACAACCACAAAACGTAAGCGAGTAAGGGGCGAACGCCGCATTTGCAAACACTGCAATAAAAAGCGTAGGAGACATCAAAAAGGTACCGAGACAAAATTAAAAGACAGTGACTGTCAATGTGTCGAAGAGGAAAAAAATAATTTAGAAATAATACCTGTAATTGACAATCAAAATTCAGATGTAATACCAGTAGTTGAAAATAATAATACATCCAAAAAAGCCACTCCTTCACCCACTTCTGTAAATAGGACTTTGTACAATACTGAAGATGTAGCACCTTTTGTAGTTCATGTTAAAAAAAATTAAACAAATCCTACAGATAATGTAACATTATATATATTTGGTATATATACATACAAATAAGATTTATAATATATAATATAAAAGAATAGGAAGAAACAGATTGGCTCTTGCTTTTTCAAACTTTTTAGATGCTAACTCTTTTTTAAACCACAGTAGTTTAATTGCCTATAATTATAATGCATTTATTCCTTCTTTTAATGTGACCCGCATGGGTATTGTAAGAGGTATTCCTAAAGACTGGACAGATGATGAAGTAATTAGCAATATTTCAGTACCTATAGGCTGTGGAAAAATTTTAAAAATATGTAGAATAAAAAAAAAGACTATAAATGAGGGAGAAACGAACTTTATTAACACTGAAACAGTTGTTATAACATTTGATGGGCAAATTTTGCCAAAAAGAGTATTTATGTTTTATACATCATTAACTGTAGATCTATACATTTATCCAACCATACAGTGCTACAATTGTTGTAGATTTGGACATGTTAAGATGCAGTGTCGTTCAAATCCAAGGTGCTATAAGTGCAAACAAAGTCATACTGGTGATAAATGTGAAGCAGATGAAGACAGAATATGCTGTATTCTATGTAATGGTTGTCATTTCGCTATTAGTAAGAAGTGTCCTGAATATTCCCACCAAAAAGCTATTAAAGAAACCATGGCTCACAGCTGTGTTTCATATGCTGAAGCTATGAAATTTCATCCTCCAACCAGTAAATTATACTCAGATGTATTAACATCGCCACCACCTTCATCAATTAAACCACATATCCAATCTTCTCCACAAAAAGACAAATCAGGCCATGTTCAATCTTCTTATAAAAAAACTGTTACACTTAAACCACGTTCTCCACAGAAACCACAACGAGGATATGATCGTTCTGCTCATGAGGCCTTAATTAATGAATATAACATTCCTGCGCCCTCAAATGGCTGTGCACTAAGTAATAATAATAATACTAATAATCAATCTGTTGCTGATATTATATTTATGTTAATTAAATTCTTGACGCAATCTAATATGACACAAACCAATTTTTCACCGTCCAACGCTGCCAACCTGAATGTTATATATCAAATTTTATCAACTCACAATGGACAACAAAGCCCACATTATTCAGTGGAACTGTCGTAGCATAACAAATAAGAAATCTGATCTATTTTATTTAATAAACAATTTCTCCCCTTTCATTATAGCTCTTCAAGAGACATGGTTAAAACCTGGATATTCATTTAAGATTCCAGGTTACTCATGTTTTCGTGATGATAGAGCCGACGGATATGGCGGTGTTGCCATATTGGTCAAAAACTCCCTTTCATATTTATTATTTTCCCTTCCTTCATTTAATGGAATTAATGCTATTGCATTAATAGTAAATAGTATTTGTTTTGTTAGTTTATATATTCCTACCCCCTCTTCTCAATTATATTCAGAATTAGAAAAAATTATATCTATTTTACCTAAACCTTTTCTTATTATGGGTGATTTTAATGCCCAACATCAATCGTGGGGCAGTACCACCTCCAATTATTACGGTGAGAAAATTATAAGTATAATCGACAGTCATAACTTATGTATAGTTAACTCGGGTGTACCAACACGTAGAACTGGCCCAAATGAAGGTGTTAGCGTCCCTGATATTTCTCTGTGTTCTTCTGATTTAGCTTCTTCGTTTTCGTGGTCTCCTCACTACTCATCCTTCGGAAGTGATCACTTTCCCCTTATTTTATCTTTACCTCATTCCATTCCTCCAAATCGGAAAACCGGTCCTCGTCTTAAATATAACTTAATGAATGCAGATTGGGTGACGTTTAAACAATATGTAGGCAATAGGATTTCAAAACTACCTCCTGTTTCTCACGGAAATGAGCACCAATGTTCGAATAGTTTAGTAATGGTTATGAAGGAAGTTGCTGATATGCTATTTCCTATAAAAAATAGTGCTTCAGGAAAAATTCCATCCCCTCCTTGGTGGGATAAAGAATGTACGACGTCATTAAACAGCGTAAGGAAGCTGAAAAGAATTATAACAAGTATATGACATCAGAAAACTATGAAATTTATTGTGAAATATCTCGTTCCACCCGGAAACTACTAAAAAAGAAGAAGTTGGAAGGTTGGAGAAAGTTTTGTTCCTCAATCTGTCCCGAAGTTAACCTCTCTGTCGTTTGGAATAATATTAAAAGATTTAGATCTGTATATACCGGACACAATTCGCTTTCCATAATGGATTCAAAATTAGCAGACGAATTTTTAGACCGCCTTGCACCTAGTTACGTTCCAGAATATCATAATCAGCTTTCTCCACCAACCCAATTATCGAAACTCGATTCCCCTTTTAGTCTTATTGAATTTAAAGGGGTATTATCATATATTAAAGATTCTGCACCGGGAGAGGACGGTATACCGTACTCATTTTTTAAAAATTCTAATGATACAACACTAGATTACTTTTTAGATTTAATTAATTCAGTAATGATATCCGGTAAGATACCTCCGTCATGGAAATCACAAATTATTATACCTTTTCTGAAACCTAATAAACCACCTTCGGAGCCCTCTTCTTATCGCCCTATAGCACTTTCATCGGTATTACTGAAATTGGCTGAACACTTGGTGAAAAATCGTCTGGAGTGGTTTGTAGAAAATAATAACTTACTTTCATCAAACCAGTTTGGATTTAGGAAGGGTAGAGGTACGTTAGATAACGTTAGTATTTTAACCTCAGATATTCACATAGCATTTTCGCAAAATGTGTCGATTTTATCAGCTTTCTTGGATATTAGTTCTGCCTATGACAACGTCCTAATTACAATTCTTAGAACTAAATTGATAGCCTTGAATATTCCATTTATGCTTGCTAATTTTATTATTAATATTTTGTCAGAGAGAACAATAAAATTGGATTTAGGTGATGATAACAAACTATCCAGATCAGTATGGAAAGGTCTGCCTCAGGGATCAGTACTTAGTCCAATTTTATTTAATATATATACATATGACCTTGAAACATCTCTTAGCAAATCCGTTAAAGTATTGCAATACGCGGATGACCTATTAATTTATTTAATAGATCATTCAATTCAATCTGCCTGTCAAAAATTGTCTGATAATCTTGACTTGTTGAAATTATGGTTAGACGCAAATGGTCTCGAACTTTCTGTATAGAAAAGTACTGTAGTACTATTTACAAGAATGCGATCACCACCGCAAGTTAAGGTTTTCTATGATAGTTGTTACATCCCGGTTAAAACAGAGATTAAATTTTTAGGCATCGTCTTAGATAATAAATTAACTGGTTTATCCCACTGTAATTATATTTCTGCTAAATGCGAACGAAATCTAAATATTCTTAGATGTCTAGCAGGTGTATGGTGGGGAGCACATCCGTATTCTTTAAAACTAGCGTATAATGGCCTTATAAGGAGCGTCCTTGATTATGGAACTTTTTTGTTAGCGCCGGGAAGTTCTTTTGCCTTTAAGAAACTGGACCTAATACAATCCAAAGCTTTGAGAATTATATCCGGAGCAATGAAATCAAGCCCAATCAATGCTTTACGGGTTGAAATTGTAGATCCACCTCTAGATTTAAGAAGACAATATCTAGCTGATCGTTTTCATGTTCGCTGCTTACAGTTGTCTAACCATCCACTTATCTTAAAACTTCCACAAATACATCAGTATGTTACCTCAACTTCTTATTGGATACACAAAAAACCTCCATGTTTAATAAAAAGCTTTGAAAAATATAAAGGAATATCTGCACCAATGTTTACTTCCTCTTGTTCTCCAGTCTATAAATGCTCATATGAATCTCTGAATTTATGCCCTAACATTTATTATGACATAGGAATTTACAAAAATGATACGGAACAGGCAGCTAAATTCAAATTTATAATAGACACACAATGGAATGGATGGCATTGCATTTTCACAGACGCCTCAAAATCAAATAATTGTAGTTGTGTAGGTGTTGGTGTATTTCACGTGC